AGGGATCAGTAAGGTAAGGCTACCGTGACGGTTTGATTCAGAAGGAGTTTAATGTATAAGATCCCTGATGTTGAGGTAACCAGAATGTTTATTTCCACTGTGTACAACATGTTGTAAGGGACCCACAATCTATCTTTATGCAAGGGATAATGTGCAGCGAGGCGTCTCTATGGGGAAAAGAACACCTGCATCTAGATCCCTCTGCAGGTGGTACTTTAAGTATATATTGATGCTAATACTTTTGTACTTTTACTTGTAACATTTTGAATGCAGGACTTTTTATTGTACAGGGTTCCTGCAGGTTTCGCCAACTCAAATTTAAGACTTTTTAACACCTTTTTAAGACCACTTTGAATAGAATTTAAGACCTATTTCACGGCAATAAAGTATGAAGGAAAATGTATATAAAGAAGAAATACGTCCCATAATCACTTACAAAGTAAATGTATTCATGTTCAACATAAGAACAATGACTGAACACAACAGCATAACAGTACAGAACTGTGTTAGCGTGTTAGACAAAAAGCGTGTATGTGTGTGCGCTTGAGTGTGTGTGTGTGTGTGTGTGTGTGTTAGGGCTGTGCAATTAATCATATTTTAATCGCAATTACGATTTTGGCCTGCCACAATTACGAAAACAACATAATCGGAAAAAACGATTATTTAGCTTTGCTAGGTTGTGACAGTGCACTACAACATATTTGATCTAATGATTTTTTTAGTAATGTATCATTTATTTAATTAATTTTTGTATTGGTTTTTCAGTTGAATTATACGTTCAGGGTAATCAACAGTTAAAAAGATACTGTTCAAATTATTATCTGTTTTAAAGTTCAATAAATGGATGTTTTCAAAGTCAATGAATAATCATATTTAATAATCGTGATATTAATTATTGACCAACATAATCTTGATTATTGCCATAATCGAGCAGCCCTAGTGTGTGTGTGTGTGTGTGTGTGTGTGTGTGTGTGTGTGTGTGTGTGTGTGTGTGTGTGTGTGTGTGTGTGTGTGTGTGTGTGTGTGTCTCTGAGAGAGAGTGACAAGAGCTATATTCAGACTGAGCTCTGCTGCCTTGGCTACACTATTTCATCGTTGCTGTTGTATGATTGGTGTTTAGCTGCGGTATTTAGCGTCTACAGCACCTCCGCTTTTAGGGTTGACGTAGACCCAAACTTCGCCCGGAGGTCCCCCGGTGTTGTTGCGGGAGCTGCTGCACTAGCTAACACTCCACTAGCTAACGCTGCACTAGCTGCTGCTGCACTAGCTAACGCTACATTAGCTGCTGCTGCACTAGCTAACGCTACATTAGCAAAACAAACGCTAATTTATTTTGCAAAAGGTGCAGCGGGCTTCAAACACGTTCCCTCCACTGGTTTCAACCAAGCACTAAATTAGATGTTTTCCAACCAGATACGGTTGAACTGACACTTCCCCATATTTATTTGTAAGTAGATTCGAAGATACCTGAGTTTCTGACTGCCGCTAGCTGAAGCTTGGTTGCTAGGTTACTAGCTGGGTGTTCTCCAACAAGGGGCCGGGGGAAACAAAGTTAGTGATTACTGGTTCCATGTTGATTTAATTCAATACAAATTGTTGGGGGGAACTGAAAGGCTGTTACCGTACTGGTTACTTTGCCGTCCGGACATTTCCCCCAAAACACATTTAGACGCTATCGCAACACAGAAGTACCTTTCAAATCCGATAATTTTTAAGACCTTCTGAATCATATTTAAGACCTTTTTAAGGCCTTAAATTCTGATTATCAAATGTAAGACTTTTTAAGACTTGTTAAGACCCCGCGGGAACCCTGATTGTAACTTTGTTTAATTGTCTGAACTTCTCCCACCTCTGACAATAAATCCTGAGTGTTTACCCTGCTCTGAAGGTTATTTTCATTTTACAGATCCTGCACTCAGCTTTGCTTTCTCCAATATCATTGAAAAGCAGCCAGATGCTGCTTCTTTTTTCGGTTTTCGCTCATTTCTTGACTTTTTCCGACGCGCTTGCATTTAAATCCGGCTCCCCGTCTCCCCGTCGCTCTGCACATGCTGTGCACCCACCCTTCTTTCACATAATGGTATGATCCTAGTGTGTCCTCGCATATGATTGGCCGCATGGTGGGCCCAGCTAAATAAAGACCCGCCCCTGCCTGCAAGGATTCTCAGCAAGAGTAGGAGCGGCTGAAGATTCTGCTTTCCCCGACGGGAGTCTGCTCTTCTAACGGCAGCTCGCGATCGGCGTGTTGGAGACCTCTGAATTAAAGTAGCAAGTCACCTCAAGTCAGAAGGCTCAAGTCCAAGTCAAGTCCCGAGTCATTGGTGTTCAAGTCCAAGTCGAGTCGCAAGTCTTTTGTGATGTTGTCAAGTCGAGTCTCAAGTCATCAAATGTGTGACTCGAGTCTGACTCGAGTCCAAGTCATGTGACTCGAGTCCACACCTCTGTTAAGAAGCCCTGAGACACAGAAATTATAAAGCAGCTTTTGACGGCGCGCTATGCATGGGGACCCCTTGAGGGGGTTTCCCGACATGTCGTTGCAGTAAATTAAAGGGTGTTTCATATTATCGTTGCTGTGGACCTTCTTAATCTACCTTCTTTGGGGGCCCCCTTCTGGTCCGGGGCCCCAAGCAGTTGCCTGCCTTGCCTGTCTGCAAGGTGCGACCCTGTGGCCCTCCCTACACGCAGATCACACAGACTGCTTGGGGCATCATCTTGCGGAGGGGGCCTCATGTTATGTGTAAATGCGGTGCAATTATGCCTTGTGTACAGACCCGGGGGGCATAGCCGCGGGAAGTAGGGGTGCTGGAGGTGCTACATTTGAAAAAGTGAGCAACCACCTAAATAAAAATTATTAAACTAAATAAAATAGTTCTGATTTTACTTCAAATAAAATTAGCTGTATACAGTAGCATATAATAGTCATAGAGCTTTTTTGCCGGTTGCTATTATGTTCATGTTACTGTTGAAATCTCTCCCCACTTTTGGCCGCACCCCCTAAATGACTTCCCGCGGCTATGCTGGGGGGCCTCATGAAACACCTTTGCGTGGGGCCACAAGTTGGCCAGGGGCAGCCCTGCATATATGTATGTATATATAATGTATATAATATATATTTTATTATATAAACGCATATGCGTTTATATGCGTTTTTCTAAAACAATAATAATAAATAATTAAATTAATATCGAGCCGATGCAGTAGCACTGTTTGAAGTTTGTATCTTCATGCAAACAGCTCAATGAAGAGGGAGGTGTTTCTAACGAGGGAAAGATTATTCGAAAAGATTCAGCCATTCGAATATGAGTTATGAATATTTATAAATTCAGTTAACCGTTTTTTTGGGGTTCGAATATTCGAATATAAATTTGCTTTCAAATTCCCATTCCTATTTCTAACTCTGTCCTCCAGGGGGTGAGCGTCTTCTTCACGAGGAGGAGGAGGACGAGAAGGAGGAAGATGAGGATGAGGAGGAAGAGGAGGAGGAGGAAGAGGAGGAGGAAGATGAGGATGAGGAGGAAGAGGAAGAGGAGGAAGATGAGGAGGAAGAGGAGGAGGAGGAAGAGGAGGAGGAGGAGGAGGAGGAGGAGGAGGAGGAGGAGGAAGATGAGGAGGAGGAAGAGGAGGAGGAGGAGGAGGAGGAAGAGGAGGAGGAGAGGAGGAGGAGGAGGAAGATGAGGAGGAGGAAGATGAGGAGGAGGAGGAGGAGCAGAAATAGCAGCAGCAGGAGGAGGAGGAGGAGGAGGAGGAGGAGGAGGAGGAGGAGGAGGAGGAGGAGGAGGAGGAGGAGGAGGAGGAGCCTTCATGACCCTAAACTGATCCTAAAGCGAACACCTTTCTCTTGTCTCCTCTCCACTCACAGTCAGCAGGTCTGCGTTGATGCACAGAGCCGACAGAAGACCTTGTTGATATCATCGTATTGAAGCCAACTCCATCCATCCATCCAGCGGCCCTCTTCTTCTCCTTCTCCCGTCACTCTCCTTTAACTCCTCCGGTGACTTTATTTTATTTTGAAGATTATTGCACAGGTGTGCCTTAGGCTGGCCACAATAAAAGGCCACTCTGAAACGTGCAGCTTTGCTTTATTGGGGGGGTCCGAAAACCAGTTAGTATATGATGTGAGGGGTAGGGGTAGGGTTAGGGTAATGTTGTGAATCGAACACATCGACAAAATAGGATAATAATGATAAACGATATTTGTACTCCATCCTCAACACAAGTATGCATAAAAGTGTTAATAAAGTACCTTTAAAACTAAAATCTATTTACTATTATGTCTTAGGTAAATAAATTCAAGCATGACCAGTAGCCTACACAACTAGTACATTTATATGAAAGCCGTTAAGTAACTGAGTGATGAGGTGAAAATCGTCCTTAAATCAATTACCGTTATTTTAAAGTTTTCCTGGACACACATTTTAGAACGGATTCAACACATGATGAATAAATAGGATTTCTGTGCAGGGGCGCTTTTTCTCCAAAATGAAAGTTTTTAATATTACGATCTATTGGCTTTACTCAGAGGTGCTCTCACTTTTTCAGCTTGGGAGCTACTTTTAAAATGACCAAGTCAAAATGATCTACCTACTTTAAAAATGCCAAACATATATTTATATATATATACTGAGTATACCTGATGTTGGTGAACCTGCATAACTGCATGAACCCGTATGGCACAATACAACTCAGTGCTTGGTCATTACGTCAATTTGATAGCCTTTCTTTAGTAGAATTGTATAAATTGGAAGGCTAGCAGGTAATCAGCTCGCCGGTGATTTGCAGCTGGCACGGTTGACTGCGCATGCGCGGTGAACTGCGTGTTAGAAAAGATGAGGTCTCAGACTGGCTTACCTGTGCGTCAATCAAGTGGCAAATGCCAAAGTAAGGATGGATGATGGGCTAACTTTTCTTTTCTTTTTTCAATGCCATGCGATCTACCCACACTACCTTTGCGAACGACGTATTGGGCACCCCTGGCTTTACTGGTGCGATAGGCGGAACTAATGTTCCTCTGCATTCTGCAGGGGTCTGCAGTCAGACCCCTTTCAGCGGTACACCGCCGATGGCTGAAGCGCGTTTGAGACACACCTGTCGGCCACCGCAGTTACCCAACTCACAACATTCATCATTAAAGAGTCACGGCCGTAAACCTTTGTGTGATATAAAGTCAACATATTTCTTCCTGCCCTGTTAGAAACCGAAGACTCGTGACTCCCAGGATGGAAAAGCTCCATGGGTAAATCTTATTTCTTATTTATCACTTGCAGCTTTGAGACATTTACTTTCTCCAAGCTGAGTTCATGGAGAGGCTTTTCTTTGTGTGCAGAGGAAATCCATCTTTGATCTAAAATCCAGTGGAATTCTTGAGACGGAAGAGATTGTTGGGAAAGTTGTTGAAAAATCCGAGCTGCTCAAATATGACACCAAGACAAAGAAAGGGACGTCTTATTTTTTTCTGGGCGTCGCCGACGAGTCGGCCAGCATCAAACTGATGGTGTGCGGAAAAGATCACCATCGAAAAGTCAAAGAGGGGAGCTCCTACATCTTCAGGAATCTAACACAAGATGGAATATATGTGAAGGTCAACGCATCGAGCAAAGTGTCAGAAACAAAACCTGTCATCGTCCCGGAGGAGTTCGAGAGAGAAGCTGAGAGACTGGTTTATCCTGAGAGTCCGCTTACCTCCATTAAAGACATCAAATCATCTCGTCCCCAGACACACGTGAGCGTCAAAGGAACCGTCACCGAGGTGAGTTCAAACTGCAGACTTGCTTCATGCACTGGAGCCTGGTTAGGTTGGTAATGCATTCAACAAATGTGTCTTTTACATGTTTTAAATGCCTTTTCAAGATCTTAGAAACCTATTTATTGACAGATAACTAAAGATAAACCAATGGACCAATTCTATTTATCAAACAAAGGCAGTTTGTTTAAACATTTTGTGAAATAGAAATCATTGTTGTTTCTCTGCTGCTTTTTTCAGATCTATCCCGTCAACAAAGTGAAGGTGCAACACAAGGAGAAGAAGACGAATCAGCGAAGCTTCAAACTGAGTCAGGAAGATGAGGAAATCAGCGTCACCATGTGGGACGAGGCCACCGAGCAGAGCAAAGACCTTTCAGTCGGAGACGTCCTTCTTCTTGAATACATGAAGCCCAATGAGTGCCGTGAGAAAGTGTCTCTCAACTCAGTTCCTCAAAATGTAGACTTTTTTACTCAAAATCACAAAATGTAGAGTTTTTCTTCAAAATCGCAACATTTTGACTTTGTCTTCAAAGTTCTGGCTGTGATAATAAAACACAATAACATAAGTAATGTTCCCTCTCGGCAAAATAAAGGACGACATAAGATAAAATGAATAAATAAGAAAATAAATAACGTGTCTTCATGCAGGTTCAAAGTGTCGGCATCCTGGATGTCATGAGGGTTAACAATGACAGTTGGAGAATAACCCCCCCCCCCTCTCCATTATATATTTGTACTATTACAAATTAACAGGGCAGCAAATCAAGATTTCATTTGGTACGATCCAAACCTCTTCAGACTTCCTCTTTCTAACTCTGATACATTATACACACGTTTTGCACACTTATCATCCCCCCATGTTAGCCACATCTGACACGCACACGCACAAACACACACACACACAACACACACACACACACACACACACACGCACACACACACACACACACACGCGCGCGCACACACACACACACGCGCGCACACACACACACGCACACGCACACCACACACACCCACACACCACACACACACACACACACACACACACACACACACACGCACACACAGACACACACGTTGATGTTCTAATATGCTTTGGATTTGGTCTTTAAAAATATGTTAAAAGTATTGTGTATCTATTCTTTGTATACTTAATGCAGTTTTTGAAGTCTACCAGTCGTCTGATAAATAGTTTACAGTTTGAAAGGATGTTAAAAAAGGTGTGGGAAACGAACACAACAGGAAGTTAAGTCAGAGGCCAAACCATTCTTCACTGGAGGGGGGACTGACTGGATGTCCTGAGGGGATTAACATGAACGTTTGGAGAAAATAACCCCCCCTCTCTCCTTTATATATTTGTTCTATTCCAGATTGACAGCAAATCAAGATTTCAGTTGGTACGATCCAAACAGGTTCTGACTTCCTTCTCCTCTGACTTCCTCTCTATACATCTGATTAAAAAATCTACCAAGTGTGAAAACCCGGGCTGAGGTTGAAGGAAGAGACGCAGTAAGTTCACTCTCAGCTTGTTCAGAAAATCTATCTGTGAGTAACATGTCATTATGATTTTACTTAAGGGTTACTTTAAGGGTTACTTTAAGGGGTTTTAGTATTCCCTGCTACTTTAAACTGTACTTCACTTCAGAGGTAAATCTCCTCCTGTTGGGTGGAAACCATGAATCCTATCAGTATTGAAAAAAATGGGAAAAGTAAAATATATCCTGAGAGGTTAGGGTTAGTACACTACTACTAACGCTCTATAGATACAATGCAGATCGTGTACTTGAGTTAAAGTAGAAGTACTCAGATCGTGTACTGGAGTTAAAGTAGAAGTACTCAGATCTTGAGTAAAAGTAAAAGTACTCAGATCGTGTACTTGAGTAAAAGTAGAAGTACTCAGATCTTGAGTAAAAGTAAAAGTACTCAGATCTTGTACTTGAGTAAAAGTAGAAGTACTCAGATATTGTACTTGAGTAAAAGTAGAAGTACTCAGAGCCTGTAATTGAGTAAAAGTAGAAGTACTCAGGTCTTGTTCTTGAGTCAAAGTAGAAGTACTCAGATCTTGAGTAAAAGTAGAAGTACTCAGATCTTGTACTTGAGTAAAAGTAGAAGTACTCAGATATTGTACTTGAGTAAAAGTAGAAGTACTCAGATATTGTACTTGAGTAAAAGTAGAAGTACTCAGGTCTTGTTCTTGAGTCAAAGTAGAAGTACTCAGATCTTGTTCTTGAGTCAAAGTAGAAGTACTCAGATCTTGAGTAAAAGTAGAAGTACTCAGATCTTGTACTTGAGTAAAAGTAGAAGTACTCAGATCTTGTACTTGAGTAAAAGTAGAAGTACTCAGATCTTGTACTTGAGTAAAAGTAGAAGTACTCAGATCTTGTTCTTGAGTAAAAGTAGAAGTACTCAGATCTTGAGTAAAAGTAGAAGTACTCAGATCTTGTACTTGAGTAAAAGTAAAAGTACTCAGGTCTTGTACTTGAGTAAAAGTAGAAGTACTCAGGTCTTGTACTTGAGTAAAAGTAGAAGTACTCAGATCTTGTTCTTCAGTAAAAGTAGAAGTACTCAGGTCTTGTTCTTGAGTAAAAGTAGAAGTACTCAGTTCTTGTTCTTGAGTAAAAGTAGAAGTACCAGAGTGTAGGAATACTCTGTTACAGTAAAAGTCCTGCATTCAAAATGTTCCTCAAGTAAAAGTAGAAAAGTATTCTTATCAAAATATAGAGAAAGTAGCGACAGTAAAAGTAGTCGTTGTGCAGATTGGTCCATTTCAGAATAATATATATGATATGTTTTATAATGATTGATCATGAAAGTGTTCTCAAAGCTGGTGAAGGTGCAGCTAGTTTGAAGTACTTTGTATACTGCAGGGTAGCTGGTGGATTTACTCCAGGTGGAACTAAAGTCTGATTCAACACTTGGTTAGATTTCACATCATTCATCCAGATCTGAGAAGTAACTAAAGGTATTAATACATGTAGTGGAGGAAAAGTACACCATTTACCTCTGAACTGTAGTGGAGTAGAAGTACCTCAAAGTTGTTCTTATGTAAAGTACTTGAGTAAATGTAGTTACTCTACACCTCCTCCTGTTTGTGCTCAGATGGCCCTGGACAGATTGGAGACGATGTGGAGGACGGCGCTGAGCTCCATCCTGGACGAGCTGACGGAGGTCGAGTTCAAGAAACTTGTGTTCAACCTGGAGAAGATCCCTCAGGGGTTGAAGGAGAGGCAGCCACGGGGCGACATGATCAACCTCATCATCCAGTACTACAGCACAGAGGAATCCATCCCACTCATCGACCGCCGGATGAAGGACCTTCCCAGGCTGGACAACAGAGTGCAGCAGCCGCTCAGAGGCATCAAGGAAGAGCTGAAGAAATTCCAGGAGCAAAACCAAGGTCAGAAATAACAAGAAAAATAAATACATGTAGAAATAAATCCTGGTCAGCTCAGCGGGGGGCGTGTCCTTCTCGAAACGTTTCAAATAATTCTTTAACGTATTTCGTAGCAGTACGAAATGAAACAGGATCAGAAGAAGTCGCTGGTCGCAGACGCAAAATAAGTTTGATGCAAAATAACTTATAAGACAGAAAACAGAACCAGAGCAGACCCTGGAACACATTGTTAAACAAACATTGCATTTTGTATTTGATTTATATGAAACACATAACGCTTCCGTTCACATATCAGTACACGTTTCCAAACTAGTTTCAGTACACATTTTTGTACACGTTTCCGTGGACGTAAACCCACGACAGAGAAAGCGTTTCAGAACTGTTACAGGATGTGTATTTTGTAAATTGTGTAACTTTTTATTATACTTTTTTTACTTTGTTTGCTTCTAGGTAACATCAAGCTGCCTTTGTCTCTTTTCTGCTGTAACATGTACATTTCCCCTCTGTGGGACGAATACAGGTATTCTGATTCTGATGACCAACACAGGCCATGGAGCCAACGTGTAAGAGAGTTGGACAGACTAACAGGACTAAACTAAACAATACAAAATAAAAATAATAATTATGATTTGTGTGTTTGTCCAGGAGGGCCAGATGAGGACGATATGAAGTAATCAGATTACTCCGCACCAACAAGACAAACGCTCACCTGCAGGTGCAGTTTGAGGGTCGTCTGCGGAAAGTTTACGGAACAATTCAAGTCCTTTCTTTGAGTCATGTTGAGAGGTTTCAATCCTCTCCAATCTCATGCTTTACTAATAAAGAGATTCTAAAAGCATCGACTGTGTTTTTAATCCTGTGCTTCAATAAGTTGGTCCTTTTATTTTCTAATTGGTGGATAAAACTATGGATGTTCTCACAGCAGTTTAAAATAGATAGTAAAAAGGGAATTATGACCCTCTCTCAGTTTTGAGATTCTCCTCGCTGCCCAGCAACTGGGAACAATAAATCCAGAGATCCAACAATAGCATGAACAAAATAATTTATTGCAAAATATCAACAAATGATCAGGAAACGTGCACACTAGGGATGTTAAGATTCACCGATTCGCGAGTGCTCCGGTTGAAAGAGTTCACATTCCAAAATGAAAATTATTTGGTGTGCCTATTTCCCAAGACAGATTGAACCTACATTGTTGATGAGTTATGAGCATTTCTTTCTAAGCCCCCGCCTTTTACGAGTATGTTTTGATTAATAGCGGCAATATTTATCGTCTGAACATGCTAATTTTCTACGGTAATGTGTCTGACCCTCCACCGATGCTGTATAAGAAGTTTGGTGTTGAAAAACTGAAAATAGAAATTTAAGTGAATATTTCACTGTTTATGTAAATTATACTATTTTTTTTTTAAATCTTAGGGTTCCAATTGGATTATTTGTAGAGCAGGTCCTCCCGGATATGTGTGCAAAATGTCAGGACATTCGGAGTTACGGTGCGACTTTGTAAATGTATTCCGAAATGGGATTTTGATAGGTGGCGCTAGTGAGCAGGTTGGAATATTTAGCCCATTGACTCCAGAATATTGTAGTTTTCACCGGTCCTGGCGTCCGTGCAAAATTATAAAACTTTGTAAGTGTCGTAAAGGCCTCAAAAACAGGAAACGCCAGCAGAAACATAAAAATAATAATTCCACCAATAACAATAGGTTCCTCGCACTTCGTGCTCGGACCTTAAATACAACTAAAATGAAGTAATGATCCCTGTCGGTAAATTAAAGGACAAAATGAATAAGTAAGAAAATAAGACTAATAATGATGAAAAGGTGATGTTGCTGATACAAGGCCAACCTGAAAAGTTGTTTAAACTGATGTTTCCTGGCGGCTTGTTCCACAGAAGACATCATATGGAAGCTAAATAGCCAACCCAGTCTCACAAAATAACGTGTAATACCTACGGTGGTCCACAACGTAGGACGTAGTATTTCTACAAAAACGCCTCTGAAATTGTAAGATGCCTACGTTTTTTTTCACCATTCATTCTAATGGCTGGCGTCTATGTCACGTGATCTTCTTTCTCCCTGCAGAAAAAAAAACATGGCCGAACTTCGTTTTATTTTAAGGTTAGTTTGGTCATTAAAATGCGTTTTGATGTCATTTGATGCGAAAAATATGAGTTGTTATTTCAGATG